TCTCCCATTCCAGAGCTTGACCATCCTCTCAGTGAAGGAATTTTCCCTGTTATCCAACTTAAACCCCTTCCCAGCACAACCTGGGGCCATTTCCCCTCGTCCTAAATGAATCCATAAAAATCCATATACGGGATGAAGTAAAAACTAAAGTCACCTCTGATGAACACAAAGCCACGGGAATGCAGTTTTTTCTCTGGAAAGCATGAAAAATATTCCTCTTTCCCACCTCCATCCCCGGTCTGGGATCACACCTACCCCTGGGAAGGGGCTCAGCAGCATCTCCCCCCTGGTCCCTGCTCAGTCTCCCACCCTCCAGCCTCACATCTTATTTATTTCCCTCGTAGGTGGAGAGCTGTGACTCAGTGGTGAATCTTGGTTTCAAGGATCACACAATACTTTACCAGCCAGTTTCAATGAACCAGAAAAAAAAATAATAAAAAAAATAATAAAAAAAAATTGGGAATTTCCCTTCTCCTTCCCATCTGTGATGACTTTGGAGAGTCTTGCTTTTGGAAAGGCTGACTGACATCCACAGCTCAGGGCTTGGAGCTGTGCAGGGTTTTGGAAATCTTCACACACACAGAAAAGGCAATTCAGCGTTTTTCTTGGCAAGTTTGCCTTGCAGGATGCCAAGTGCAAGGTAAATATCTCAGGCTTCATTCCCTCAGCACGGAGTGCCCCTCAGGGATAACATTAGCAGGAGTTTGTCAGCCCATAATACAATCTTCCTGCCAATAAACAGGAGACAAAAGGTGACACTCCAAGGTCAGTGTGTTGTGTGACAGTGAAAATGGGGGGTGAGATGGGTTTGGTTGGTTGTACTTTAATATGTAAACCAAGGGACAGCTGCTCCTGCAGTGCAATGTAATAATACATATATTACATCCCCCCTGGTGTTGTTCCTGCTGTATAAAAGCCTGCAACGGGATGGACAATCCTGGGAGCAACTGGGAAGAGACACAGGGAGGTGCTGGGCTGAACTCCCAGCCCAACTATAAAAGGATCTTTGATCTCTCCTCAGATGGCTCAGCACAAAAGCTGCTGTTCATCCTCCCCACATTCCTGCTGTCCACGCCTCCCTCCTGCCTGGAGACAACGGGGACATTTGAGGATGCTTCAGGTTTGCTTTGTTTGTGGTTGGCTGCTCCGGGAGCTTTGGGGATGACACCAGCAGTGATGCTGCTCCCTGTCCTGCACTCCCTGGCTGGCTGTCACCGAGCAGTGGGAGCTGCCCTGGGCACACTTTTGCTCTTTCTGGGCCCACTGGAAGGAGAGTTGAGATGCTCAACCCACAGGAGGGGTCTTGGGGCAGGCCAGGGCTGGGGGATTTAAAGTAAGGGAGCAACGTGGCAAAACAACCAGGGGAGGGCTCCTCGGGTCTCATTCTGCCCCCAGTTTGACTGAAGCTGGTCCCCTCATCCCTGCCAGCACCCTGCTGCCTCTGTCCCAGCCTCCACTGCCTTCCCAAGCAGCAGCAGATGCCAAACAAATGAGTCTTCCCAGCTCTCTGCAGGGTTTGGTGGTTTTTTTTTTTCCCTCTTGAGTTTCTCCCAGGCTCTGCTGGAGCGTGTGGCAGCATGTTTGGGACTGAGCTGACAGGAAATAAGCTGTCTTTTTTCCATGCTCTTGGCTGGGAAACTCCACAGCTTTGGAGCTGTATAGGCAATAATTCTGGGGTAACTCATTAGGCAGGACATGTAATCAGATGTTGCCTGTTGGTAACTAATCATCCAAAGTGTTCATTCTGACAGAACATTCACAGCATTGATGCTGCTCCTTCAGGCAGCCAAAAAGGACCAACCTCTTCATGGTAGCGTTTTCTAGAAAGAATTATTTTTATTTTTACTTCTCTCTGCCTATATTTACCTCTACCTGCACTGTTTTTTCGAATCAAATTAAGAAATCATTTGGCTGATAAACTGTCCCTGATAAAGTGACACTGTGCTGGCTGAGAGACTCCTGCAGTGCAGTCTGCACAGCACACACCACCACGAGAGGATGTGCAGAGGAATTTTCATACCAGGAGCTATAGGATTTACTTTATTTCACTGCCAAATTAGTATCACTGCTTTTATCAACACGATTGTGTGTCATGATACCTTCAAGAGCAGCAGCCAGGCTTTGTAACCCGGGCCCCTTGCAGCCCTTCGTTCCTGGCTGGAGAAGATTGCAGCCATCAAAACAAAGAAGAACCATTTTCTCTCCTGGGAACAGATCACCGAGTTCCCATTAAGGCAAAACAAAATTATGCAATGAGTCAAGGCAACAGTGCTGGGCATGTTTAGTCTTGTTTGGTGCTCTGAGCACTCACATTCCAGCAGGCAGCCTCCCCTGCAGGAGAGCAGCACGAAATGGTGGGGAGGCTCCAAAGGGCACATCCAAAACTCCCCAGGTGTGCAGGAAAAGAGAGATGAATCCTCGGGTGTGCAGGAAAAGAGAGATGAATCCTCAGGTGTGCAGGAAAAGAGAGATGAGTCCTCCCCACCCCTGTCCTGGCAGCACCTCTGTGGCCTGGGAGCTGTTTGTGACCCTGAGAGAACTCGTGTCCTCACCAGATACTGCACAAGATGACTCGAAAAATTACATAAAATCATTTATAAACACCACCGTGGCTGCCACAGGCTTCTTTCCAGTGGGTTCAGTTGAGAGGAAAACACTGGGGGATGGATTTGCTGTTATTTTTCTTGATGAGCCAGAACCTCAAGCTGCTCTGCTGTGGAAAAGAGATCTCAGAGTCAGGGGCTGAAGTTTGGCTGAAGCATTTACAAAAGGAAGGACTGAGTTCATTGAATGTGTTGAACTCCTCTAGGCACGAGGATAGAAAACACGATTCCTCTACATTATTGATAAAAATATTTTAATTAAAATAGAATAGTCTTTCTGGCAACTTCTCTGGCCCTTCCCATCCATGGGGTGCTTCTGCTCAACTGTCTATACCCTCTTTTTGCTTTTCTCTTGAGTGAAACCAAGCATTGCCTGGCTTCACTTAAACATAAAAATGTAAAAGTGTAAAATTATACTATACATGTAAATATATATATATATATATATATAGAGAGAGAGAGAGAGTATATATATATATATATATATATATATATATATAAATATATATATACTACTGCAAATCTCTGGATTTGCAGGAATATCCCTGATGGAATACACATGGAATATCACTGATGGGTTACTCAGAGGTGTGAGTGGACTCAGAGCAAACCCTGTTCCTCCAGTGCAGCATGAATTGCTCTACTGTTCCGCAATATCAAATTTTAGCCTGATTCTTAGCCAGTATTCTTCCTTGTGAGAGACTCTTATTACAAAACCAAGCCAAAAAAAAAAAAAAAAAAAAAGGAAGATCCAAAAAAAGTGAGCAGCTTAAATCCTTCAGGGCCTCAGCATTAGAATAAGGGAGTCCATTGTTTCCTATTAATGCTGCTCCAATCCTCTTAATAAAGATAACAGGCTGGCTTGGGCACATTTATAGCTACAGGTCATTCTTTCCAGCTGACACAGATAATGGTTGGACTCAGAACAATTGGTCTGATGTGGGTAGAAGCTGGTGGGCTCCTGTAAGAGAAGGAATGAGGGATGGGTGGTGTAGAGAGGAGGGTCTGAGCTGTGGCTGTTGCTGAGCAGGCAGAGGTCAGGGGGTATCTGTAATAAAAGCAATAAGCAAAGTTCAGTGGGGAAGGGGGAACTGGAGTGTTTCCGTGGATAAAGGCACTAAAGAGGGAAAAGGGGATAAAGGGGAACTCTTAAAAATAGGGAAATAAAGTGTTCCTGTTATTTTTAACTTGAGGTTCTAAGACTGAAATGTGAAAATAAGAGGGAAATGTGTTTTTGTACCTATTTACTGGTTCTCTCACCCATTTTGTATAGAGCACAGCCTATAGCAGGTATTCAATTAAATGAATGCATTAGCAGGTTTTTTTCACGGGAGTGCTTGTTTTTTTTTCAAGATTTCCTCTGGTAATTGTTGTTTATTCTTATGCCTCATCTCACTAAAGCAGTTGAGTCACCCCCCCAAGCCAGCATTGAAAAAAACTAATGTTATTTCCCTTAAAATCCTTTTTTTTTCCCCCTTTGAAAATCTCCAGTTCAGCGAGTGTGTAAAAAGGGACCCTCAGCTCTCAAATTCTTTGCCACGAAGGCATTAATGCATAGAAAGCCTCTGACCCTCTGGGGTTTGTTTCTAAATAGGGCACAGCTCAGAACATCTGAAGGTCTCTGGGGCTCACAGGAGGGAATCTCCTAATGATCTTAGTTACTTTTATACCTGCCTGAGACCAGAGTGCTCCAGTGCAGAGAGGCAACCCTGAGATCACCCAGTGAGCACAAGGAACTGGAGCAGTGAGAACTCGGGAGAGAAGGGGGGCAAGAAGAAGATAAAACACCAAGAAAGGAAGGTGAAATAACCACACGCAGAATTAACATCGAATAAAGGCACAAGGCAGCCAGAAGAAAAAGAGCAAGGAAACAGCAACTAAAGGATATTACAAGCAAAGGAATTTGGGAAGGTTTTCCTTCTTTTCCTTCTGGTTTTTGTTTTGTTTTGTTTTTTTTTTTTTTAAACCTGCAAAATGGGACAGCAGTTTACCAACGCTGAAGGGGAGCAAGGAGAGATCGACGTGGCAGAACTGCAGGAGTGGTACAAGAAGTTCGTGGTGGAATGTCCCAGTGGGACCCTCTTCATGCACGAGTTCAAGAGGTTCTTCGGGGTCCAGAACAACCAGGAGGCAGCAGAGTACGTGGAAAACATGTTCAGAGCTTTTGACAAGAACGGGGTAAGTGGTGAGGGGGTTTTTACAGTTGTTTGTGTCATAATTTGGGTGTCTTTTCCTGGGATTTGCAGGTGTTGCAGTGCAGTGCTCACCCTTCCTGACACTGAGGCATGAGGAGGAGCACAGGCTGCACTGGCCTGGGATGGACTTATCTTCTCCTAAATCTCTACCCAAATTAAGATCAGTGTCCCCTTAAAGGACTAAGGCTGGATTAAAAGGTTGAATTTTAGCAGTGTCACATTTCGAGACAGTGCTGTTGAAAGATCCTCAAACAGCCAAGGTTGCTACATGGAAAAATTATTTATCTGCTGTGATAAAGGGGGGATTACAGTGGAGGAAATTCCTGCTCAGGCTTGCTATATGAAGTGTGTTTCTGTATGTATATATATATATATAGCATTAACAGGTGGTATATAACAAAATATTGATTTTAGCTTGGCTTCCCTAAAGCAAAGGAATGCTGAACAATTCTGACATTCTGGTTTTGATTCCCTTTGCTGTATTTGTCATCAGGCACCTGGAAAAAAGTGGGCTTTCTGGTTTAGTCACAGTTCAGACATACCCAGGCTCTGCTGCCAAAGGCAGCCTAACACTGGCCTGGGATATTTTAAGTACTTAAAATAATGTCACACAGTTGCTTTTCTCATCTAGACATGGGTAAGCAATGCTTGCCAAGTGGTTCAGTTCTTTTTTTCTGAATCTTTTGATCCTATACCAGCTATGGGGTTTGTTTGTATTAATACAGGAGAAGGGGAGACAAGTCAGTCATCTCTGACAAACTGATTTCCCTCATGCTCCCTTTGAAACCAGTGGCAAAATCACAGTGAGGTGGCAACAAAAGTCAGTTTGTGAGAAAGGATCAAAAAAACCCCTATGGAATATGTGGGCAGGTCAGACTTGTCTCAGAAGCTGAAGCTGGAAAAACCCACATTCCTGGGGAAAAAAAAAAAAAAAAAGAAAAGAAAAAAGAAAGAAAGAAAGAAAAGTTCAGGTCCCAAATTTTGTTATGAAAGTCGTGCAAAGCAAACAATGTCCACAACAGATGAAGTCCCATTCCTAGTTTATAGGAGCTTTCCTAACAAGACAAACCCCCCTGTCTTTAAGGGATGCTGATATATAAAGAGCACTAAATTTAGGCAGGGAGTTTGTTTGAGTATCCTGAGGGTACCTAATCAGTTGATCAGGACCTAACGACCCAAAGGATTATTGGTAATACAATAAGAAGATGGAAACAACTTCTCAATTGTCTTTTCCTGCTCTCTGGGCAGCACAAGCAGTTGTTGCTCCCAGGGGCTGTGGAGCATTTTGGTGCCTGTGGGGAGAGGGGCTCACCCAGCCCAAAATCTCCCAGGGGTTTGCTGAGGGTGGGGAGGGCTGGGAGGTGCCAAAGGGGCCCTGGGGAGGGTGTGGATCTTTATGAGGACCATATTCTGGAGTGCCCTGAATCCCTTCAGGGTGAGGTTTTTAGGAGGATGAACATCCTGGTGTAAATCCTTTATTGGGGGTGTTCTTGCTGCCTTCTTCAGATTGGTGACATGTCCATTGTTGAATCCTTCCTCAGCTCGATCAAGATAAAACCAGACAGAAGGATGGGGGAAAGGGGTAATGGTTGGGGGTTCAGCAGTGAGGCAGCTGAGGTCATTGAGAATCTCTTCCCCAAAAAGCAAATGTCTCCTGCACTAATCCTCATCCTCAAGGCCAGGCTGGACAGTTTGGAGCAACCTGGGCTAGTGGAAGGTGTCCCTGCCCACGGCAGGGGGTGGAATGAGAATGAGCTTTAACGTCCCTTCCAACCCAAATCATTCTGTGATTCCCTGATCAGGTCATTTTGTGGGGCATTTAAATCTCTAATTTCTGCAGTTTGACAGGTGTCCCCCCCCCTTATTGCACTGCTTTGCAGGAGAATTGCTTTGCTCCTCCACTCTCACACTCCTCAGAGGGGCTTGGCTGTGCCTACTGGTGGTGCTGAGCTGGCACAAACCTTCTTTGAAGTGCCAAATAAACAGCTGTCCCACTGGAATACCTTTTTGGCCATTTCAATCCAGGTTTTCTAGAGCTTTCAAAGCAGTTTTCTATCGACCTGCACCCAGTTAAGTGTCATCCAGCTGCTGCTTTTCTGTTTCCCCAGGATAACACCATTGATTTTCTGGAATATGTGGCTGCCTTGAATCTTGTTTTGCGAGGAAAACTGGAACACAAGCTGAGGTGGACGTTCAAAGTGTATGACAAGGATGGGAATGGCTGCATAGATAAACCTGAGCTGCTGGAAATCGTTGATGTAAGTAGGCATTGCTTCATCTCTTTAAGCAATCACTGTTCTTTGGCAATGTAATGATGTGTGTGGGGCTTGTGATAATCGGGTTTCAAGGATGGTGATGGAGTGAAAATGCCTGACCTTTGGTGAAAGGGTTCTGTGCTCAGTGGTTTGGAGCCTGGTGGGGTGTCTGAGGGGTCTGTTATACCCCCTGTGGGCAGCCTGGCCCTTGCTGCTCTGTCAGGGATCCTGTCTCTCTGCTCTGCCTTTCCTTCCAACCCCTTCACACCAAGATTCATTGCACTGGAAGAGGGTTTCACCCCATGCCCCTTATAGGAGCTGTTTTCTGCCTGAGTAGCTGGTGAGAACACACTGAGAGGCACAAATTAGTACAGAAATCCATTTTTAATGGTTCCTTCCTGGGTTTCTGCAGTTCTGCACTTAGATTTGATCAGTGACTGTGTGAAGGTCTGACAAGAGGCACTTGGGTGATTCTGTGATCTGATTAGCAAGGTGGGAGCTGGTCTCTTCTCCCAGGTAGCAAATGATAGAGCAGGAGGAACTCACCTCAAGCTGCACCAGGGGAGACTTATTAGATTGGTTATTAGAAAAAACTTATTCACTGAAAGGGTTCTCCAGTGGTAAAGTCACCATCCCTGAAGGGATTTAAAAGCCATGTAGATGTGGCACTTGGGGACATGGCTGTGCTGGGCTAACAGTTGGACTGAGTGATCTTGAAGGTCTTTTCCAACCTGAACCATCCTCTGGGGCTCAGCAGACAGTCAGACACAGGGGGCCTGTGCTCTTACTTGATGTGAATACCTTGGTGCTTGTGCTGGAGCACCTCAGGTGCTGCTCCCCCTGCACAGCAGGGCCTGGGAGGCTCAGTCAGTGGTCACCACACGTTCCAGGATCTCAGGGGAAATGCAATATCAAGAACACACCAGGAATTGAACGTGTGGAAAGCAGATTTTGGCTGGGAAGCGTGAGCAGGTCGTTACCTGCAGCCCCAGGTGTGGGGGAATCGGGTCAGCCTGTCTGGGGCATATCCCATTTTAGTCTTGAGGTCAGCTAAGAACTGCAAGAACTGTGTAAGGCCACTGCTAATCCCCTCTCTGGGGTGACTTTAGACAAAACCCTTCAGCCTCAGGAGTAAAGATGACAGTGAACAGGTGGCTGTCAAGGGAGGAGTAGATAAAATCTGACCCTTTCCCGTGGCAAAGTGGAACAGAAGCTGTGGGTCAAAACACGTGCTAATACAGGCTTGATCTTGCAGCTTGGGCACAAGTTTCCTGGGAGAGACAGGGCTGGGTAAGTTCAGCTGTGCCTGGCTTTGGATGTTAGCAAAAAAATCCTAGTAGAGTCAGATGACTCTCCCATCTGTGAAACTCTCACTTTGTTCTTTGCAAAGGAACCCCGAGGTGTGACCAATACATGTGAGGAAAACAGGAGGGCAGCAGTTTCAAAGAGCAGATGAGGTAAATCTGCAGCCTGTGTGGGTGTAAGGTCAGAGGTTTCACTCCAGATCTGAAGCTGCTGAGTGGCAGAGCCTTCCAGAGAGGTCAAACCCCCAGCCTTTGAAAAAGACCTTCACAGTGTTGGGATGATAATGGAGTTCACTGCTTTTCACTTTCCAGTTCTTCTCTTAATTTGTGACCATCTTTTCAGTCTATCTACAGGCTGAAGAGGGCGTGTTGGTCGGACACGGAGGACAGGACCCCACTGCTCACCCCAGAGGAGGTTGTGGACAGGATATTTGAGTTAGTGGATGAGAATGGGGATGGTAAGTGATCAGTGGCACAAATTGCATTCATGTCTAATGAGAGGTACCTGTGCTGGCCAGGCTGGCTCTGATTGTGGCTCTCCAGAAATCCCTTGGGACTATTGTGTTACTCAGACACCCCGGGTTTGGTTCTGCTCTGTTTGATAGAATCAAAAGTAACTTGGTGGAGGAGGGTGATATAATTATTGCTATTTTAACATAAAATACAGAGGAGTCACTGTTCTGTGTGGATTTTGATGCCACACAGATCTCATTCTCTGAAAGCCCCAAGAGCCAGAGGGCAGGTCCCGGTCCCAGCACAAATAACCTGAATAAAGACAATGGTTCCAAACTGGGGCTTGCAGGATCAGACTTGCAATCCTGGAGGAGCCTGGGGGAGCTACTGAGACATTTCATGTCTCCTGTTCTGATGGGGCAGGTGAATGCACTGGCCACAGCCTGTGGTTTGTCTTTTAGAGCCCTGGCCTGAACCAGGTGGGGGAATGAAGTAGGCTCTTGTCTGATTAGCATATTATCTGGAACACAGATGGTATTTGCTTCCTGCCTTCTTCTTCTTCTCTTATCTCTCCCCTTCTGACTCTGCATCGTGTGACCCCCTCATCTCATCCACAGGGCAGTTGTCTCTTGATGAGTTCATTGACGGAGCCAGGAAAGACAAGTGGGTGATGAAGATGTTGCAGATGGATGTGAACCCCGGGGGTTGGATCACTGAGCAGAGGAGAAAGAGTGCTGCACTTTGAGAAAATTCAGCTTTGGTACAGCTGAAAGCGTGATGCTGACTCCAAGTGTGACTCTTCCTCTAGGGTGGTAGGGACTTTCCCTTGTAATCCAATCTCAGCATCCAGATGAAAACTTGGATGGTTTAAGAAGCCATATCTCGACCTAAAACCCATGTGCTGCTGGTACCCAGAGACTATTTTTGGCCCATGAATAAGTCTTTCTGTGTACACAGTACTGTGTTTGCCAGCTCTGGTTTTTGGTTACACCCCAAGGAACAAACTTTTTTTTTTGTGGCTTCCTGCAGCAGATCCTGAGCAGGGTTTTAGTCTGAGGACAGACAGGATGGGGAGGTAAGAAAGCCAGGCAGTGGTCCTGGTGTTTGCATCACTCAGAGATATGACACATCAAACCACCAGTGGCACCAACAGAGGGGCTCTGGCAGGTGTCAGACGTCCAGGATGTCTGGGTGTGTATTTTGTAGCCTATAATGTCAAATTAGTGAAGACCAGCAGATTGCTGAGTCCAAAAATGAGAATTGGACTAGAGCAGTCGCCAAGGCACCACACAGAGCTGAGGGAAACAATGCATGGGCTGGAGAGGGGGAGCAGTAACTCCTTCCCCTCCCTCCTGTGCACCAGAGTCTGCTCCTTCTGCCTGTCCAGAGGGTCTCTGAGGGGCTGGATAAATGTTCTTCTAAACACTGAGCAGCACAGGAATTGCTCCTCTTCAGGGCCCCATTTAGAGGACAGAAGGGCACAAGTGGGACTGGGCTCCTTTTGAGCCCCTGGTTTTTAGGGAATCATCACTCTGGAACAGCTTCTGCTCTGTGAAGGGTGGGTGAGCTCCAGGGGCTCCAGGGCTTTCACTGCACTGGGGAAAGTTTTGTGTGGAAGCAGAGATAAAGGGGAGAGCAGAGTTTTGGTTGGCAGTGTCTCTGCAGTGAGAGGGTTTGTGCTGCTTTATTGGCAGGACCACCCAATCCTAAATCACAGGATGCTTTGGGGTGGAAGGGACCTTAAAACTCCTCCAGTTCCAACCCCCTGCCACGGGCAGGGATGCCACTCACTAGATCAGGTTTCTCCAAGCCTTGTCCAGCCTGGCCTTGAAAAGAATAGAAAAAGTGACAAAAATCCGAGTTATGAAGCAGTACAGTGGTTTTACACTGGACTTAATTTAGCCACAGATACAAAATTCACACACGTTGCAGGCTGAGCTCTGCTCTTCTAACCCATATTTCTACATGTATGTATGTGGAAAAAGAGTTTGGGTTGAATCAATATTTTGGGTCATCTTTATTGGATTTACTGGCTCATTTACAAGAAAAAACTAATCAGGAAAAAATAACATGAGTTTGCCTGTTTTATTTTAATTTTCCCCTGGGGTCAGTGGACCAGGTCATACCAATGAAACGATTTACAACCCCTTTTTTGTGGCCTTTAATTAGGAGTGTACTATCTGTCATTAGTTGATTAGTTTGCTGGTTTGTGGTCTTGTCAGTTTAGCCAGTGTTTAAATTCAGGGACACGAGGAAGTGTTCAGGATAAGGCACAATCAGTGCTAGAGTTCAAATCATAGAGATTTCCACTTCAAAATAGCCTTTCTAAGAGTTCTCTGTAAATACACACTAGTCTGTGCTGTGCTTACTTATCAGAGCTGATTAGACTCCTGGTTTGTGCTGCTCTTTCAGGCCCTTTCAAGTCAATAGTTTATCAGCCAAAGATCTGACAGAAAAATCTCGCTTCTGACTCGAGAGCCTGCGTGAAAACATTCACTTCTGTGAAATGTGAATGAAAACATTCGACTTGTGGAGAAATGTTTTCATTAGAGGATACAAATCTCTAATTCCTTGAATTTCAGCATCTCAACTGACGTAACAAACTCTGCTTCTTGCACAGTTTTGCAGTGGCTGTTTAGTTACTGTAGTTGCACGTTGCTGGTTGACTTCAACGCTTTAAATTCTCTAATTCTGCTCAGCCCCAGGCACTGAAGGGGCTGTTTGGTGGGCTCGTGCCAGCACTCCTCTCCTGGGGTGCAGAGGGCACCCAGCACTGAGCACGTGTACAGCTGTGGGGTAGGAATTTTGTAACACACGACTTGAATAAAGAAATATTTATTAAAACCCTTTGTTTCGTACCATTTCTTTCTTTTACTGAGCATGGAAGTGAAGACCTGTGTAAGCACCCAAGCCTCTGAGTGAAACTGTAGCCTGTGAGGCTGAAATATTGAATTTAGGGGAGGTGTTGGTGTGAGAGCTGGGTAAGACAGAGATAAGGCAGAGATGACGACGCTGCTGCAGAGGCAGAGCAGGGAATGAGTCTCCTCTGTTTAACTTTCATGTGATGACAGCAAAAAGCACAACGATGTGAGTAAAAAAATGATATTTCTCCATGGAATTTGAAATGGGTGCTTAAAATAAAGTGAGCTGCCAGTGCTGCAGATGCCCCCACTGTGACCCTGCCAGGGCTGAAGCAGGAACCCTGAGGAATTTAGGGCTCAGGAGCTGGATGTTTCCACCTCCTCTGGCCTGGGCAGATCTGGGATGGACACAGTGGGTACAGTTGTGTCAGTGCTGGCATAAGCCAGTGGAAAATTGTCCCTCTTCCTGATTGTGTAATCTTTTGTCAAGGAATCACAGGCTGCTTTGGTCTTAGTCCTATTTTTAAATCCATAGGTATAAACACCCTGATCTCTTCCCAAACTCAACTCAACGTTTGCAGCAAGCTGTTGATGTCAGGCATTCTGCATAATCCGTTTTCCAGACTTACAGCCCGGCTAGAATTGGATTTGGCTGATCGGATTTCTTTCGGGGCTAAATTTGGCAACGGGCTGGCTTGGAAAAGGCAAATGCCATGTGATTTTTCTGGGCTACCATCTGCTCCCAATGCTTGATGACCCTGAAGTTGGGCAGGATTCAAGGTGGAACAGTCAGGTTAGAAAGCTGGAAGATGCATTCCTGGAGAAACTGCTGAGCAGCAGAAATAAAAGGCTGAGAGGGAAAGAGGATCACTGCACCCAGCTCTGTGCTTAGGCAGGCTCTGGGTCCCTAAAATGATGTTCAGAGAGGGGAGGCTCATCCCTGGGCAGCTGGGGCTCAGTGGCTGCCCAGAGGGAAGGTTCGTGTCCAGGTCATTCCCAAAGCACCTGTGTGCAGCTCTGCCACTATGGAAAAATTCCTTAAAATTAATTTCTTTCTTTCTTTTCTTCCTTCCTTCCTTTCTTCCTTCCTTCCTTTCTTTCTTTCTTTCTTTTTTCTTTCTCTCTTTCTCTCTTTCTTTCTCTCTCTTTCTTTCTTTCTTTCTTTCTTTCTTTTTTTCCTTCCTTCCTTCCTTCCTTCCTTCCTTCCTCTTTCTTTCTCTCTTTCTCCCTTTCTTTCTCTTCTCTTCTCTTCTCTTCTCTTCTCTTCTCTTCTCTTCTCTTCTCTTCTCTTCTCTTCTCTTCTCTTCTCTTCTCTCTCTTCTCCCTTCCTTTCCTTTCCCTACTATCCTCCCTTCTCATTTCCTTTCTCTTCTTTCTATTCTTCCTTTTTTTCAAAGGAAAAAGCCCCTCAGAACTTTAGGCAGTATCTCAAACGCATCGCCCTCAAACATCCTGTATTTAAGGCAGCCTGCTGGTGTTCTGGGATCAGGGCTGTGCTGCAGGAACACGGGATCAGCGATGTGCAGTGGAAAAAAGGACCTTTGGAAGTCTGGGAGTGAGTTTTGTGCCATTTCTTTGCCTTTCGGGTCTCCCTCCCCACCTCTCGGGGATACACAGGGGGATGTTTCTGCCGTTTCAGCTCATCATCGCCTTTCCCTCTGATTTTGGGATGGGTCGGGCCCATCCCGGCGGATTCCCGGGATTCCCGATGGAGCCGGCAGGGGGCGCTGCCGGACACGGGAGCGGGACCTCGGGGAGTGTCCAAAGGGCTCCCAAAAAACGGGGACCGGGAGGGTTTGCTCGGGCAGGCAGGGACAGGACAGGCGGGAATGGCTGCGAACTGACACGGGAGAGACTCCGAGGAGATATCAGGGAGGAATTCTTTACTGTCCACTGGCATGGGCTGCCCCGGGAGCTGCCCCATCCCTGGGAGTGTCCAAGGCCAGGTTGGACGGGGCTTGGAGCAACCTGGAATAGTGGAAGGTGTTTTTCAAGCATTGCAAGGGGCTGCCCAGGGAGGTGGTGGAGTCCCCATCCCTGGAGGTGTCCAAGGAAAGCCTGGATGTGGCACTCAGAGCTCTGGGCTGGGGGACAAGGTGGGCATCGGGCACAGGGTGGAGTTGATGATCCCAGACATCTTTTCCAACCTTAATGATTCCATCATTCTGTGCCCACCTCATCGCAGGGGAGTTGGACTAGGTGACCTTTAAACGTCCCTTCCAACCCAAACTGTTCTAGAACTCTATAATTTCAGTGCAGCTACAGCTCTTCTGAACAAACCTGGCTCCAGGGGCTGGTCCCAGGTCACCCCAAAGCAGAGGCAGAGCTGGGACCTGGGGTCAAACCTGCAGTGTGGCCGTGCAGCCTCCCAGGCCCATCCCTCCCCAAAAATCCTCCCCCACACTCCCCAGGGAGGCTGTGCTGCCTCCCAGCACCAGGGATATTGTCACAGGGGTGAGCAATGTGCCCGTGGCACCTCAACAGCCACCACTATTTGGAAATAAATTAATTATGCATGAGCTGGGGCCAGGAGAGTCACAACATTAGTTTCTAATTATTTCTTATTTGCTTTCTTAGAGGCTGAAAAAACATCCTTTGGAACAGAGACACTGAGGTTTGAAAGGTGTCTTTGGCCTGCTGGCAGTCCTGACACAGCCTTTTTAGAATAACTTTGTCTTTATAAATAGAATTTGGGCTTGTCAGAGCTGCTTTTTGGGTGCAGAGGAGGGGCTGAAGGAAGCACAAGAGGCACTGGAGCTCAGCTCAGCTCCCTCCTTGTGCTGTAAAGCCAAAGTGCTGTGTAAGTTTTGTGCTGGTCATTTGTGGGGGAGTTAATTGTGCTGCAAGAAGGAGTGTTACACACTGAGTAAACAGCTCAGCCCACCTTTAATAACCAGTTGCAGCTTCTCTCTCTTGCACTGGTGTGAGTGGACAGGTTGGCCCATCAAAGGGTTCCTTTCCATGGTGTGTTTCTGTGCCTGACAACAACCCCAGAGCCTGAACCTGCTGCTCTGTTTGGGTGGGAAACAGGCCAGGAGGGAGTTGTGGGGCTGCAACGAAAGGAGGAAAACAGGATGTGCCTGAAAATGTGGGTGGGTAAAGCAGAGCTCTGGAAGAAACAGTTGTAGGACTACCCAGGGGGTGGTAGTTTTACTAAAGGTTTTACTAAGGGTTTTACTAAAGGTAAAACTGCCTGACTTGATGCAGGTGAGGTACAGAAGAGCAGGCAGCACCCATGGGATGCAAGAACCTGGGAGCAGCTCCTTTTCTACATTGATCCTGAAGAAATCAGACCTCTCCCCACAGCTTGTGCCTGTTCTTGTAAAAGAACTATTTTAATAAAGTCAAAACAAAGGGTTTTGCACTTGCATGAGCCAGTTAATCTGTCCCGCTGGAAACAGAAGGATTGATTGAAAGACAGGAGAAGCCCAACCTGGAATAATGTTGTAAAGCATCTTTATTAGTTCACTACAAGACTGGAAGTACAAAAGCTTCCAGGCAAAGCACTGCCCAGTGGACAAGACGCACAGGAATAACGCTCAGGAAGTTGCGAACACCCAGTGCTAAATAACAAGACTTTCAGCTGGGCAAGAAACCCTTCCTGGTGTCCTGTATTGCCTCACCATGCCTGAAACTTGCTCCCATCAGACGGGGAAGCTCCTCTCCAGGAGCAGCCGAGGCTCAGCCCCGGCTCAGGGACGGGGGGTGGGCTGGGGCGAGGCCGCGGCTCCCGCAGCCACCCTTGTGCGTGTGCGGGGTCCTGGGGGCAGCCCCTGCTCGTGGCACGAGGCTGCTGGGCCCCAGGGTGCTCTGAGAAGGGGTTTTTTTACTCCGGGGGGGACTGTGTGTGATCCCATGTCGGAGGTGATGGGACCCGGGCTCGGGTACTCGCGGATGCTCGTGGCGCGGGCGCTGCGCTCGCCCGCCTCTAGCAGCTCACCCACCCCTCCAAAATGCGCGCAGGCTTTGGAGTTAAAACCACCTTGATGCTCAAGTCTAACTCACAGGGCAGTTTGATTTTGCTGTCCAGGGTGGTAAAACGTGCAGGAATATTCCTACAAATGTGCAAAGCTTCTCCTTCTCAGGTTACTGCTGTTGCAGTACTTACGTCTGGTTCTACTTGCCTGGAAGTACTTATTACTTCCAGATACTTCAAGGAGAAAAATGCCCTTAAAGTCCAGGTGGTTGTTAAAAAAAGGCACCATTCGATGTTTTTAATGCTTTTAAACAAAGAAAAGCCACTGCATTCACCCCTCCCCTTTTTCTAGCTCGTAAATGTTTTTACCTTACATTATCACTAATCATTGCTAATAATAAATCAAAGAACAGGTGACCAAAAATGGTGACTGCTTGCTCTGGAAGTATAAACGGGAGGGGAAGGTTTAGTTTTGCTTTTCTAGGACCCCTCTCACTGGGGCCAAGTGCAGGGCAGCCCTGGGGTTTGTCCCCTGCCAAGGCTGCAGAGGCTGGTGTTGGCCACAGCCTAAATTTTGAGGCGCTGTCTGTGTGTTCTCAGGCTGCACAACCTCGTGCTGCTCCCCCGCCTGGGGAGGTGACATTGTCCCCCCCACTCTGCTCGACAGCAACATCCAGAGGGCCCTGCACAGCTCAGGGCTCGTGGCAATCCGGGGTGGGGGGGTGTGTTTTCCATGTGTCCACATCCCCTCCTTGCAGCAGCTTTTCCTCTAGCGCCGGGCAGGGCCCCCCGGCTCCCCCAAACCGTCTGCCGGGGGAGCAGCACCTTCAGAGCAGGTCCTGGTCCCTGCACTAACAGGGTAGCCTGTGGCCACACTGGCACTGGGACAGTTCTCCAGCTCCCACAACCACGACACGAGTTAATAATGCAAGGGGGGAAAAGTGGAGGCGCAGGGAGAGCGTCCCAGGGGGTTACTTGTCAGCCGCCGCCTCCTCCAGCTCGTGCGGGTTCTTCCCGTCGTTCTGGATCAACCGGACGATGTGTGTCAGGTCCAGGCTGCGGGTGAGGATGTCCAGCAGCATTTCATCCTTCTGCACGCCCTCCATGAACTCTTCCAGGGACAGCTCACCTGCGGGAGCACGTTCAGGAAGGGGCTGTCAGGTCCTGCAGCCTCTCTGGCGGTGTCTCAGCAGCCCCCCCCCAGGAGTTGTACAGACTCTAAGTTTGGGGTCTTAAATATGTGAGTTGTGCACCCCAAACCCCGCCACAGATCCCCACCCTGCCAGTAGGACAAGGGGCAGTTTGCAGTGTCCCCTTGGGCCAGCTACAGCCCACAGAGGGCACAGGGAGCTCAACCTTCACAGAGAGCCACCCTCTGCCAGCTCTCCCCATATCCTGGTGTTTTGGGATGCCCAGCACCTGGAATTGCTCTGGCAGGTAAGGGGGAAGGTGGGAGCATTGGAATTGCTTAGGGAAGTCCCTCACCATCTCCATTTATATCGATTTTGTCGAACACCATGTCTGTGAACTCCTCAGCCGACATCGTTTCGTTGCAGCGGTTGATGGCTCGGATGGCCTGGAGGGAAGGAAGGACACAAGGGAATTACTGAGTGCTCTGCAGGTTGTGTATCCATCAGCACAAGTGGCCAAGGGACCTGAGACACCAGAGACCATGAGAGGCTAAACTATTTTGCAGGCGGTTAGGTTTTGAAAGCAATAAGTCTTGTCTAAAAAAACCTGGAGTTTAAAATCACTTCCAAAGGCAGCCAATGCTTTACAAGATTTAGTGGCCATGCTGGGATAAACCAGGAGCTGCTCACCTCTGAAAACCCTTAGATTAAATTCAAGTGCTTATCTCAGTCCAAGTTTCAGTGGATGGGGTTAAACAGCCAGGAGAAGACCAGGGGCTGCTGTGTGTCAGAGTGTGCAGGTGCCATGGGAGGTGTGGGATGTTGGAGTCAGGTCCACCAGAGAGGACTGGCAGAGGACAAGCAGCAGGTTTGGCCAGTGCCTACTAATTTACCATGGAATTAGCTGGGTTGGAATGTTCCTCTTACAACCTCTCTGTCTACCTGCCTGTAATGACCACCTGTGATAGAAATGGAAAGGCTGAGCCCACTCACTTTGATGATGTTCAGCAGCTCTCCCCGGTCAATGCAGCCGTTCCCGTCCACATCATAGAGCTTGAAGTACCACCGAAGCTTCTGGTCCACCTTCCCTTTCAGGACCAGGCTCAGAGCTGCCACATATTCCATAAAATCGATGTAGCCATCCTGAAAGCAGAAGGTTAGAATCTAAGATGAGATTAAAAGCAGAGAGTCAGGCAGTGTGTGATTTTCCTGGTCACTTCTGGAGGTCCCTGCTGGAACTGGTCCCCACTGGTGGCCTCCACCTTGAGACAGGGGCTTGGGGAGCACAGCAGAGGGCAGGGGGGTGTGGGTCCCCTGCATGCCCAGTGGTTAAAACCAAGGCTCCATGTTAATCTGTGCAGAGCCATTACAGAATTAGAGAATCACTGAAGTTAGAAAAGGCCTCCAAGATCATCAAATCCAACCTCAGACCGTTATTTGCTGGGAAGGAATGAACTCGGTGGGTGTTCCTGGCTTGGGCACTAAGGAAGCCTCCAAAGCCTGTGCTCAGGGAATCTCTTTATGCAAAGCAGTGGTAATTCAGAGGTCAAAGAGGCACAGGTTTATGCAGATGAGTCCTGATGGATTACACAACCTCGTCCTGCCTGCACACACTTACAGCTCTTTCCTGCTGCAAGGGGGTCTTGGATGAAAAAATCCCAGAGAGGAATAACATGAGGAGTCACCCCAGCATGGTGGTGACATGTGGGCCTAGGTGCTGCTCTGTCCCTGTGCCATTTCTGTATTTGCTTCACGTTTGGTCACGTCAAAAGCTCAAACACTTTTATCTTTGACTTTCCTCCGAGGTGTTTGCCCACCTCCAGCTCCTGCCATGGCATCAGGAGACCTTCAGCTGGACCCACAGAGGGCTCGCTCCCAGGGCTGTAGATCACTGCAGAGCTGCTGGGATGAGCTCCCAGGCCACCAGCCTGCCTCCAGACACTGCCCATGATGTTCACAGCTCCTGTAAGCTTTGCTGAAGTGCCTCCTGCCCACCACAGAGCATTGCCATGGCCCTTGGAAGGAAAATGGCACGTGGGACGTGGCATGCACCTCCCTGGAAGTGCTCAAAAGGATGTGGCACCTGGGGATGTGGGTGAACATGGAGGAGCTGGGTGAAGGCTTGCACTTGATAATCTTAGAGAGGTCTTTTCCAAGCCTAATGATTCCATGATTCTGTACTACCAACCAGGGACAAGCCATTAGAGCATAAGCCAGGGTTTTGTCAATGAACAAAGCCAGGGCTCCGCCGGCCGGTTCAGGAGGAGATCATCTGCTTTATCCCACTGCTGCAGGAGCCAGATTAGGTATAAATAGCTGCTAAGCCCCATTCCCAGCAGGATTTCTAGTGCATCAATTCCCTTTTCAGGCATTCATTGAAACATGGGGCAGTGAGCAAGGTAAAGGCCAAGGCTCAAGCAAACACCTGAAGGATTTGGGGCCTGATTTGCATTTTTTTCAATGGGATTAAGGCCATTAAAGCCTTTGAGTTGCAATAAAACATATTCCTCATCTCACAGGAGGTGCAATTTCAAATCATTTGCAAGTAAAGGAGGATGTTGTTTCCTCTCAGAGACTCAGCATCCAGCTGCTCTTCTGGCAGCACTCCCAAACATGTCCAGGTGCTCCAGGACTGCCCCGTTCTGGGGGTCCAGCACAGCAACAGCCCGAGGAGCAAAGCCTCCCTCCCCACAGGGAACAGAGGACCTGAGCTCCTTATCACAGGGGACAGAGCACATAGCAAAAAAAAAAATCAATGAAACTAATCCATTTATAATTTAAAGCAATGCAAAACAGAGCCGATCTGTTCTGTAAACTGTGGCTCGTGGCTTGGGAACTCGCTGTCTCTGCGTGAATGCAGCCCTTGTTCTCACACCACTTGTTCCTTACTGTCACAACATTTGATACTTAAGGATTAAAGGGCACTTCATTTTAAAGGGATCACAGCCTGCCAGATAAAACCCCACTGTTTTAATCACTTAAAACCAAAAGGAAAATATCAGCTCTGGGAGAAGTCTGCTTTCTCACAGAACAGGCAGCGGGTGAAGGGGTTTTTTGCTGGCATTTTTCACCTCCCAGAACTGATTTTGCAATTTATGAGGCCACAGAAAATCAGGCTGTGCATACTCGGGACATTTTCAATATCACACACACCCAAACACACTGCGGGGGATCACAGGGAGCAGAGCACAGCCCATCCCAGCGCAGCTGAGCGGGAAGGACAATATTTACCTTGTTGAAGTCAAACGTCTCAAACATTTGCTCAACGTATTTGTTCGCTGAAGGACTCAGGTTTTTCAAGCCAAAAAACTGTTTGAACTCGTAGAGGGTGAGCTGGCCAGAAGGACACTCTGTCATGAACTTCTTATACCACTGGTGGCACTCGGTGGTGCTGAGCTCCTCCACGGTTTTCCCGTCCATGTTCCCCATCTCCACACCAAGCACTGGTGGCTTTGCAGCCAAAAAAAAAAAAAAAAGGAGGTTTTATGAAGCCTGAGAATAAAAATTCTCAAAGTTCTGCTTCTTGCCTTCAAAGTCCAGATGCTCCCAGCACTCTGCAGGGGTCACAGTGTCAGGGAGAACCAGCTGCCTGGTGCAAGGGCTGTACCAATTCCGTGGTGGATGCAGAAGACACGTCCTCCCGGGAAAACTCAAAAGCACAAAACCCTCTTTGGGCAAGAGGGTGACATTTAAGTACCCAGCAAATCCCTGCCCAGCCAATGAGGCTCAGGGGGGTGACGGGCTCCTGCCAGGCATTAAGAGTTCAGGGTTAAAATAGAAAAGAGGTAAAATGGGGAAGTCTTGCAGATTACAGGCCCAACAGGAGATTAGGAGGTGGAATTTTCTCCTTGATGATCTAATCTCTTAATCCACTTCATTTATCACTGGGGGGGTGGGGGGCGGACATCACATGAAAAATAAGTTTTACACCAAAATCAGAGTAAGAAGAAAGAAAGAAAACCACTCAGAATTCTCTCTCAGAATACTGCCTTTTTGGTTTCCCTTCAGCTTGATCTGCCAGAGGATTCCAAACAGGGCTCTAGAGCCTGAAATTCAGGGAGGGGGAAGTACCACGTGAGCTCCTAGAAGAGATGCTTCTGAGGGTAAATTTGGTGTGCTGAGATAAATATAGAAACATAATTGCTTTAAATGGTAAAGCTTTAAGTGCTTTCATTGCCAGCACCAGGAAGGTGAAGGTGCCTCTCCCCCCCCAGCTGCAGAGTCCCAGTGTTCAGTCTCCCTGGTCCTCATAATTGGGTGTTTTCTCCTCAGAATTGTCCCACACTCTGCTCACCCCGGGAGTGTGTCCTGGTTGGTGCATTACCAGAACTTGGCTGACACCAGTGGAGTTAAATGCAGCTCCAGTTTTCATTTGTGATGAATTACCACGAAAAAATTCTCTGTGTAAATATGAGTAAAAACAACCCAGAGGAGAAGGATGGGGGGACAAAATACATCCTCAGAACACAGCACGAGCCAAATCCTCCACTAGGACATGACTGCTGGGTCTCTGCCCACAGGGAGTTCATCCCATAACACACATTTTTTTATATCTAGCAAGTTTAAAGACTTATCTGATGACTAAAAGAGCCCAACTCTTGCGTGGTTCAGAGCTCAGCGCTGCGTACGCGCGGAAGCGAAGTTGGAATAACTCTGCTAAAACAGGCAGGATTACACAAGCGTAAAACAGTTATGAAAAGGGAATTAGGCTGAGGAAGATAATTGGATGTGCTAATTCTGCACTCACCGCCAGGTCCCCATCGTGCAAGAGGAACCTGGGCTCTGATCCAGCACCACAGGGGACACGGCTGGAATAGCCCTGGAGCACAGAGAGGGGCTGCAGGACTGAGGTGTTCAGCAGCAGCAGGAATGTTGTGTATTAAAAGTGGATACAGTCTCACAAAGTGTTTCAAGAAGCACTTGATGATGGTGTGTCAGCTTCTCTAGAGCGGGCAGTGCGAAAGCTGAACTGCTTTTGCTGCCTTCTGGAATGTGTGCCACAAACAGGACGTGCTTTTCCAGTCACTGAGAACACCTCTTTGCCTGAGCCTGGGAAAGCCGAGTGAAAGAAAATGGCCATTCAAAGAAGGAGCAGAATTTAGAGGAGCTGGTGAAATGAGAAGCTGGCTTCAAGCTGAGAGAGCTGGGAAGAGAAGGTTGTGTGGAGGCAGAGCAGCCTTCCAGTATCTGAAGGGGCTGCAAGGGAGCTGGAGAGGGACTGTTCATCAGAAAGTGGAGTGACAGGACAGGGACTAGTGGGTTCAAACTGAAAGAGGGGAAATTTATGTCAGATATTAGAAAGAAATCCTTCCCTGTGAGGGGGTAGTGAGACCCTGGCACAGGCTGCCCAGAGAAGCTGTGGCTGCCCCACCCCTGAAAGTGTCCAAAGTCAGGTTGGACGGGGCTTGGAGCAACCTGGGCTAGTGGAAAGTGTCCCTGCACATGGCAAGGAGTGAAACTAGATTGGCTTTAAGGTCCCTTCCAACCCAAACCATTCTGTGATTCTATGAAACCTTCCCAGGTTTTGCAGCCTGTGCTGGGGCCGGGCTGGTGCAGATGAGCTTGGCTGGGTGGCCACTCACTCAGTGCCCTGTGCTGCTGACACCCAGTGCCTCTGCACGAGCAGCTGCCAGTAAACGACAGGACAAGTTGGACCGGGTTTTTAGAGCAAAATCCACACTGCATATTTCTCTGGGGAGCAGTGACACAGCCTCAGCACCCACCCCTTGGCTCACGTGTTCGCTGCTTGTCATAACTCAGACACCAACGGAAAACTGAAGTCACACCGGTTGCTGGTTTCATTGTTTGGGCTTTATTGTTTGGGCTTTACTGCTTGGGTTTTATTACTTGGGTTTTATTACTTGGGCTTTATTACTTGGGCTTTATTACTTGGGTTTTATTGCTTGGGCTTTACTGCTTGGGCTTCCCTGGTCCCAGCTAGAGCTTTTTGCTGCGGAAGGGTCTCCATTTGCGAACGTCGGCAGGTTCCAGGTCCGTTTGTATCTTGCCATGGGTGGTGTCCTCTCGGAACTGGTACCCACAGTAGGGCCTCTGCACGGTGTAGAAGGGGCAGTACGAGTTGGAGAGTGTCCGTCGGTAGAAGACAAAGTTGAAGGAGCTGAGGGGACGTCCCCCAGTGTGGACAACCACCGGAACGAAGCGACTGGCCAAAGGCTGGTCCTGCTGCTGCTGTGCTGCAGAGGGCTTGTTTTTTGGGCTGGGCTGTGTGCTGAAGAGCTCCTGCCTTGCTTTGATCTTCTCCATTCCCTTGGATCTCGTGTGGTCTTTGCCGGGGGCTTCTGGTGTTTCAGCCGCCTGTGGCTGAGCCCTGGAGATTCCTGCTTATCCTCTGGGGCACCTGAAGCTTTGCAGAAACATCCTCCCTGTGGAGCAAAAGGGAGGCAAAGGCATTGTAATATTGCCCCCATGCTTTGCCATCCTCATCAGTGCTTAAGGCCCCAGTGCAAGAGTTGTGTAGTGGTGGCCAAAACCAGCAAGTTAAACAGACAAGGAGGGCTTTTTACATTACAGTGTAAATGATGAGAAGTCAAGTATTTACATTTCTTTGGCTAAAAATCTAAGGTGGTGCTGCATAAAGAGAAAGGGAGTTAAAAATCCTGTGATGTTCTGGAAATATAAAAGCAAATTACTGGAAACAAATGCTGAGGGGATGCACATGATGAGACAGGAAGGACTTGATTCTCTTGACTGGCATTTCAAATAACCATTGACTGGTTATTTGTAACTGTGCAGGGCAAATATAAGGTGCTTCACAGTTTCTGATGTTCCTGCTCTCAGTCTGACCTGGCTCACCCCTTCATCACTTTTAGGGGACACTGTTTTCCAGCAGAGCCCCGGTCCCAGATCAGAGCCTCAGCTGTAACAGCTGTACATGACAGCAGCACACACTCCTTGGAAAGCCTTCACCAAACCCCAGCCACGGCAAACGAGGCAGGAAAATGGTTCAACACAATCTGACCCACCAGGTAACGGGACACAGCAGTGATGGCAGAAACCTGACACTGCCCTTTAGAGCCTGAGCATCAGCTCAGCAGCTCCGGGGGCCTCTGCAGGGACCTCCCACCACCCCGCTGGGTGAACGTGAATGGCTCTTGCTGAACATTTATGCGGATTTTCCCCCCTTAAACACAAAGGCACAGCATGGGGGACAAGGACAGCACAAACAGCCTGTTTTGCCCAAGCATTTGTAAGAACCCTTTGCAGAGGAGGGGGTGTGGACGTGCCCCAAGACACACATGGGGCTGAGTTGTGACCCACTGCTGCTCCAAGGCTGTGCTTGACTGCCAGGATATTTCTGCTGTTACCTAAGCATGACTCAGTTGTCTTGCTTTCATTGACGACACCTCTGTGCGAATGGAAACTGGCTCTTCCCTCAGCAATTAGCCACTTTACTCCTGGCTGTTCTAAATAAACACTCTGCTTTCTGCTTATTTTTAACCTTGTAAAGAGGTTTCCCGGTTTCCGTGACGTGCTCAGTGCTCTATTTCTGTTCCCTGGCTCCTAAACCTATTAGCAGGGGAATGCCCACAACTCTGCAGATTGTTTAGGAATCTCCTTCAAGTCTTAGAGGGGAATCACCAGACCCCTACAGGTTCACCACCTCTTCTTGTCGTTCCTTTCTCCAGGGTCATTCATTTCTCCAGCACCCACAAGGCTGGAGCTCAGGACACGGGTTATTTCAGCAGTTGCTGTCACAAGGAAACCTCAGTCCATTTTTTTCCCCAGGGAATAAAATAAGAGCAGATTTTGTACCACTGCAGTCATTTCAGTTTGTGTACCCCTGCACTTAGATTTGTTCAGCAGTGATTTTATATTCACACACATGCACGCTGAGAGCTCGTGGACGTTCTCTCTTTGGAAAGGACAAGTACACACACGACTGTGCTGCTGCTGCTGCACCCACCCAGTGGGGAGCACTAATGTCATTAATCCCACGTACTTGGGGTGTGGAGGGGAGGCTGTAGCTACTGTGACAACCCAATTGCTAAGTCATGTAGATGCCTTCAAGATGGGCAAGCCTGGCTGGGCGATGGAGACCTGACAGTCATTTCCAGTGACGGGCAGATACCGAGCCTGGGAGTGCTGAGCTTTGGGCTTTGCTCTTCTGGTGGGGCTCATCTGCCCTGGAGTTCCTGCTTATCCTCTGGAGCACCTGAAGCTGTGCAGAAACATCCTCCCTGCCCATGTGAATGCACCTGCTTACGTGATCACTGCCTTGGAGGGGAAGCACCATCTTAATGCCCACAGCACTATTTACGGCACGGCCAGTGCTCCGTGCCTGAATGAAGAGTCCCACGTAATCCTGTTGCACCCACTCATACATTTAATCCCTCCCAAACTGTCTGTTGTCTATCAAAGAAAATCCCACGGGAGGGGTCACAGGGAGAAGGTTGGTTCAGCAACCAAGG